CCCTTTTCCAAAAGCACAGATCAGCTTGGAATATACACAGTGTTTCTACTAAACAGTCTGAATTATTAACTAAGAAGGCCTTTTTTTGCAAACACCTTAGAAAATTTCACATCACAGAGCATTGCTCAATGCATAATAAATGTGGAAGAATTAAAAAATCTGGGTTCTGGCAGAATAGAGGATGGGGATGCAAGTGTGTGTTTATGCACGTGCGTGCATTCCCTTGTGGGAAACAAAAAGCTAAATGAATGTTCTTCTTAATACCTCATATTTTAGGAATAATCCTCACAAACTCATGACATTGTAGATAACTCTGGTGCTCTGTAGGAAAACCCTTGCAGCAGGGACGGAGTAGTCCTTACTCCTACCAGATTTCAAAGTCTTTCCAAAGGGCATCAGTGCTCAAGGGGTTCCATGTGTTTGATTATACTCTTGGTGCCTGCTATATGTGTGACAACTTTGAAACTTTTCTTAATCAGAATTCATGTTGTCAGAATAAAATATGTTCACCCATCAATGCCTCAGAGGATGTATATATGAGTCTCTTTATTTGCTTGTCTGCAAATGAGAACTCAGCATTTCCTGCATCATCAATTAATTACAAAAAGATTTTCACTAACGTGTGTAATATTCACAGGATCTGGATGAAGCTCATCTGAGGTTTCTGGAAAACACAAAAGTTTTCATGAAGAGAGATAAGATAAGAAAAATCCACTAGAAAATCATGTTGGTTTGTGAATCGTGTGTGCCAAAATTTTAATAGGAGTATATCACTGAATTTCTAAGGATTGAATAACAGCAGCAATTTAGACAAACACATTAAGATATTTTGTCTGTGATATTCAAATTTGTAACAGTCAATTATAGACAATGGGCAGTGCTATACTGAGCATAATTACAGCTATTTTAGGTGTGGAGTTCATATTTGGAAACATGAGCAATGGATTCATAATTCTAATAAACATCACTGAGTGGGTCAGGAGAAGAAAAATCACTTCAGTGGATCAACTCCTCACTGCCTTGGCAATCTCCAGAATTTGCCAGCTCTGGACAATATTCTTGAATAAGCTGCTCTCTGTGCTTTTCCCACCTGTGCTTTGGAGCAAAGGCGTATATAAAATGTCTAGCATTACCTGGATATCAGCCAATCATTTTAGCATGTGGCTTGCTACAAGCCTCAGCATCTTTTACTTTCTCAAGATAGCCAATTTTTCCAACTCTGCTTTTCTCTACCTGAAGTGGAGAGTGGAAAAGGCGATCTCAGGGACACTGCTGGTGTCTTTGGTCATTTTATTGTTAAACATTGCGTTTAGTAATACTTATATTGATTCCTGGGCTGATGAGTGTAGAAGAAACAGAACTGGCAATTGCAGTTCACAGGAATCTTTATACTTGTCCAGGCGTTTTCTGCTCAGCTACGTGATATTCATCATCGTACCCTTCACTGTGTTGCTGACCGCTTTCCTTCTGCTCATCTTCTCGCTGTGGAGGCATCTCAGGAAGATGCAGCTGAGGGCCGTGGGGTCCAGAGACGCCAGCACCGAGGCCCACCTGCAAGGCTTGCACACTGTGTTTGCCTTCCTCCTGTTTTATGCAATTTTCTTTCTGTCCCTTGCCATGCAAGTTTTTATTTTTCGGTTGCAGGCAAAAAATGTGATCACTATGGCTTCCTACATTTTCACAATGACTTTCCCTGCATGCCATTCGTACATCCTGATTGTCCGAACCAAGAAGCTGAGACAGGCTGCTCTGTCTATGTTATGGTCCCTGAAATGTAGTTTCAAAGATAAAGGATGCCCATTTCTTTCTGCCACGTAGAGAACCGTATTCTGGAGGAAAATCAGTTCATGAGAAAGCCTTGTATGTCAAATATTTCTCTTGCAGTGTTCCACCAGTCCGGTAAATGTGTATTAGGAAAATATGATTAGTGCATTTCTTCCTTTGAATCGTGTATAATTCTAATTGTTTCTGTCAGTACATTGATGAATTGTTTCAACATTCAAAATACTAATTAGGGTGATGATTAAGATAGTTGTGAATGGTGGCCCTCCAAGTATTATTCCAACAAGCAAAGGACTGTTTTTGAGATAAGTATTTTTAAAATCAACTGTAGAGTCTTCCTCTTATATTGTGTAATGAAATTTGTGTTAAAGAAGTGTTGAATATGATTTATTATTTAATAAGGTGTTTATATATTTACCTTTCTCAGGACAATTAAAATAATGTCTCATGTTAATAGTGGTTATTATACCACTGAATGCCATTTAGTCGGTATCACTTTTATGTAAATTTATTTTTTCCCATTGAAAGGTAACATTGAATGTGGTGCTAGCTCCCATGCAGAATGACTAATCTGGCTAATTAACATATCCATTATCCCTCAGGATTTTCTCTGTTATGATTATAACACATTTCCTTCCCCTGGTGCATTTATCTTTGTGTTGTGAAGTTGAATTCTGAACAAAGGTACAAACAAAACAAAGTTTGTGGAGCCATACATACATCAAATGAAATATGTTTTAGATAGAAATCAAGCAATCTAAAGGGAGATATTTGAACAAATAAAACCTATGACACTTTACTGTAATGGGTGCTTTAAAAAACAAATTTTCAATGCTGCAAAAAAGCCATCAATGCACAAAACTTTAAATGTTACACAAATTGATACAGTGAATAGAATTTATAATTATAAAGTAGGTTGAAATGGAGTATTTTGCAAAAATAGACTTTTAAGGCAGAAAAAGTTGGAGTGTATATCAGAAAGGCTATTAATGCGAAGTATACTGTTACTAAAATTCAATAATATTTTGCTTATTTGACAGAATAATGATATTATAATTACAATTGTAATAATTATTGTTTATCTGAGTTTGAAAATTAAATTGCTCTTCCATTCAACTGAAGGAAAGAAGAAAATAACAAGACACGATGGAAGTCAGTGTTGTGTCGTAGTGTTATAAGCCACCACCTGGGACACAGGCAACCTATATGAGCACTGGTTTGTATCCTGGCTAGCCCACTTCTGATCCTGCTCCTGATAAACCACCTAGGAACCAGTGGAAGGTGGCCAAGGACTTGGGCACCTGCCTACCCAGAAGATCCTGGCTACTGACTTCACCCTGGCCCAACGCTGGCTTGGTAACTATTGGTATAGTGAATCAGCAGATGGAAGATCGTTTTCTCTCTCTCTTTCCCTCTCTCTCTCTGTATAAATCTACCTTTCAAGTAAATTAATATATCTTTAGAAAAAAAAAACCCTTACAGTCAATTGCAAATTTTAGTATCCATGTTTTATTTCAAACTGCTGGTGTTGACAGGTTGCTAAACAAGGGATTGGTGTTGAGAGGTAGAGGTTTAACTAGGCAGATACATAGACTTTTGGCCTGTTAACTCATTTTAATTTTTCACATTTAATAAAACCAGCATGCATACCACTTACTGAATAAAAAGTGTTAAAATGTACCTATGTCTATATACATCTAAATAAAACATGGATACTGAAATGATGAGGACCCTACACACATCTTGGGTACTGGTTTTTTTGGACGCTCTCATGAGGGAGTGAAAGGGAATAATACCCTTTGTTGCCATTCTCACTTTGTCAGCAAAAGTTTCTCCCCCACTGAGAGCTAACGTTTCTAATGACAATTTATGTGCTTCCAACACACACTATAAAGGTGCAGTAGAGGCTATGCCTGCAAGAGCTTCTTCGGGGTGAGGATATCCCTGCCTTGGACCTATGTTCTGTGGCTTTTCTAAAGGCTCCTTTTGTTTCTGTGGAAACAGCCACCCCACCCTTTCTCCATCCCTTTGGTCATTTGCATGTCTGTTTGTCTTTTTTCTGGAGCTCATCTTTGTTACCTGAATTAACCCAGCCGGGAGGACCTTCTTGCCTCTCCTCCCTCTCCTGATGGTATGTTTGTGCCAATAATCTTAGGAATTTTCTCTTGTTTTTAATATTTACCCAGGCTGCTTAATTTGGCCTTCTCAATATGCCTTTCTCCTAAATCTAGGGTAGAATATATTCAGCCAATATTTGCCTATGTTGACCAGATAGGGTAGCATCCTTGTCTGAATTGTGTCTGTAGTGAGTCATGGAATAGCTGTGGGCAGAAGGTGAAGGATGACAAATAAAAGCTGTGGGTATTTGGTGCTGTGACATAAATGTGCCCAACTGGACATGGGCAAGGTACAGGATAAGAATTCTTGCGAGAGATGAATTGAATCAAGTTAGTACTTTATGAGACCGTAGATTCCCTCCTCCTTCCATGTGGAGAGAGAAAAGTCACAGTTTGAAGAATATTTACCTTTAATACTTTGTAATGTAAACTTTGAAGCATTTTTAACAGGGCTTGAATGACATGAGATACTCACTAGATCCACTTCTAGATATATCATAACTGCTGAAAACATGAAAAAATTGGCGCTATATCAACTGAAAGACACACAAATTTGGATGGAAATAAATATATGCATGGATGCGTGTGTGTGTGTGTGTGTGTGTTTGCTTGGTGTGTCAAGGGGGAGAGAAAGAGATGTGCATACTTACAAGCCCTTGTAAAAGGCAAAAAAAAAAAAAAAAATTAAAGGTTCTTCTCAGTGCCAAATAGTTGAAGAATAATATCCCAATAAAGTATCAGACACCTCTGACATATTGTGGAAAGAACATGGGAACAGGGTTAAAATGGTTCTTATATAAATGAAAATTCAGCATTTCCTTTTACCATAAACTACAAATGAATTTTATCACCCATGTACAAGGTTAACAAAATTTGAATGGAATTCATCTGAGCTATCTGGAAATACATAGGTGTTTCAAAATGAAAGACATGAATTATATACTAGAAAAATCTTAAAGTGTGCTATTTGATGGTATAGACAAGAACTTTAATGGGAGAATATTACTGTGTTTTCAATAATAATACACATATAATGGTTTGTGTGACTGTAGGAAGAAGTCTTGGCGGTGATATTTGACCTGGGGCATTCTGTTATAGGCGATGGGTGCTGTTGCTGTCACACAGAGTGTACTTGCAGTTTTCATTGGTGTGGAACGGATCACTGGAATCTTCAGCAATGGATTCATTGCACTGGTGAACTTCATTGACTGGGTCAAGAGAAAAAAGGTCTCTTCAGTTGATCAGATCCTAACTGCTTTGGCAATTTCCAGAACTGGCTTGCTCTTGCTAGAAACTTCATACCAGTTGATTTGTGTGATTAACCCAGACTGGATGGTTACTGACAGGATGTTAAGATTGATTACTATTAGTTGGGCTGTAACCAATCATTTTAACATTTGGTTTGCTACAAGCCTCAGCATCTTTTATTTTCTCAAGATAGTCAATTTTTCTAACTCTACTTTTCTCTACCTGAAGTTGAGAGTGGAAAAAGTAGTCTCAATGGCCTTGTTGTTTTCTCTGGTGCTCTTGTTTCTGTATATTGCCATTTTGAATACACAAATGAATGCCTACATTGGTGGATGTGAAAGAAACATGACTTGCAGGTGTAATTCTAATGAATCTTTATACTTCTCCAGGCTGTTCTTACTCACGTATTTGATGTTCACCATTATACCCTTCACCGTGTCTCTGATCACTTTTCTCTTGCTCATCCACTCCCTGCGCAGACATCTCAGGAAGATGCAGCTCAGTGGCATGATGTCCAAAGATACCAACACCAAAGCTCACTTGGAAAGCTTGCAGATCATGGTTACCTTCCTCCTGTTTTACGCTATTTTCTTTCTATCGGTCATCATACAAGTTTGGACTGTTGAGTTGCTGGAAAAAAATCTGATTGTTGTGGCTCTCCAAATTTTGGAATTAAATTTTTCTTCAGGCCACTCATGCATCCTGATTCTTGGAAACAAGAAGCTAAGACAGACATTGCTTGTTGCGCTGGGTTGGCTGAGGTACAGACTTTGAAGATGCAAAACCTTGAGTACCATCTGGCATTTCCACTATCTTTTGCAGAATAGAGAGGAATTTCAGGCTGCGAGGAGTTCTTGTAGTTCATAAGGCTTCTTGTTCCCAAAGTTCTGTCTTGGAGTAATACTTACCCAGGCAGGTTATATACATAAATGTATATCAGTATATATATATAGGATAGACAAAAAAAATATCATGCAGGTTAAGAGTCCTTTTATAATAACTAATAATATGAGTGACTCACATTTCAAAATTTAAAAACAGAAAGTATAAAATATAAATCTATATATATGGTGTTTGTGAGATATAACTAAAGTAGAAATTTATAATAATGTATATGTCACACATTTTAATATAGAATAGTGCCTTCTACCTTCTACTTCTGATAAGAAGTTCAGGATAAAATATGTAAATTCAAATATGAACCACACGCAATAAGTCAATTGTTTCAAAATTGTGATCCCATTTATAGAAATAATAAATTTATAGAAATTTCTCAGTCTCGTTAGGTTTCTTTATTACAATTTTCCTGTATGTACACAAGTTTCAGATTAAGGAAATCTTGAAATATAGTCATTATTGTTAGGATCCTGTGGTTGGGATTTTGAGTCCAGCAGTCCAGTTGTAAGTAAGGGGGCCCAGAGAAACCTTGCCAGAGGTGACTTTGGACCTGATTTCTGTGTGTGCCAGTCAGTGGTGAGTCTGACTGAGTCTGTCACCCACATCAGCCTACACACACACACACACACACACACACTAGTGGTTGCAATTGCTGGGTCAGTTCTGTCTCCAGCCTCATCTCTTATGCAAGGCCATGGATGTTGCAGCTCAGCCCAGCTCTGCTCACCATACACCGAGTGTCATTCACATCAGCAGGAATTGCAGACTAGTCAGAATGAGCTCCATATCATAGCCCCAGTTCCTATGTGTACTGGTATGTGCAGCAGACTGGTCCAATCCATTCTACATCCCATTCAGATCTTGTACATATCAATGGATGTTCAGCCTAGCTCAGCTCAACTAGCCCCATTAAATTTTAAACTGGAGAGATATGCTTATTAACTTTTAATAATGGATTTTAAAAAGCCTAAATGTGAAGGAACAATATTTAAATCTACACAAGATGTCAGAGGGTTTTTTTCCCTGCGAAAGTCATGTCTTACAGCTTTTTGAGATTTCTTGGATAGAAATGAAGCACATTAGGGCTTATACTGATAGAGGTGGCATGTGTGTGGGTCTATGAGGTTGTTTATTATAAACCTGCATTCACTTACTAAGAGTCAGTACCTGGCCTTAGGGAATGTAAGCCTTCCTTTGGTTTCTTAGGCAATTCAGAAGCTTCAAAAAACAGAATAGAATAAAACATTATTTATATTCACATGCTTATTATAGCTCAATGGAAATCAATCCAGACAACATCAACAGGTGACAGCATAAAGAAAAGTATGTATTTATACATTAAATTATGGGACTCAACCATTAAAAGAGTGAAATCCTGTCTTTTGCAATAAAATGGAAATAACCAGAAACCATTATGTTGACTGAAATTATTCCCCAAAACACAACTGTCTTCTTTTTTTCTGATGTATGAGACTTAATATAGAATACAAAAATGTAAAGGAATGAAATAGGCATCTTGTGATTTCATTACTGTTTAAGCATTTATACTCTTGTGGAAGTATGGGTTTTTGAATTTTTATTTCTTGAATATGTCAATCAGTGTTATATTGAATCTGTGGCTATAGACTCTTTCTATAAAATAAAGGAAAAAAGAGGGTGGTGGCATGACAACCAAGTGGCTAAATCCTCTCCTTGTATGCGCTGGGATTCCTTATGGGTGCCGATTCTTGTCCTGGCAGCTCCACTTTCATCCAGCTCCCTGCTTGTAGCCTGGGAAAGCAGTTGAGGATGGCCTAGGAGGCTAGGGACCATGCACCCGTGTGGAAGACTTGGAAGAAGCTCCTGGCTCCTGGTTTTGGATTGGCTCAGCTCTGGTCATTGCGGCTATTTGGGGAGTGAACCAGTGCACAGAAGATCTTCCTCTCTGTTTCTCCATCTCTCTGTACATCTGCCTTTGCAATAAAAATAAATAAATCTTTATAAAGAAAAAAAAAACAAAGAAAAGAAGAAAGAAACAAAAGAAGTATATTATCATCTTAGAAGTGTAGCAATAAAATGCATGAAATATGCTCTCTTTATATTAATAAAAAGTGAGAAAAGGTCTAAGTACCAATTTCTTCAGGACTTTTTTCATGGAACTAGTATTTTGTTCACTTAAACCCTAGTGGCAGGGAACTGCCTAAGTCATCTCAGATTATGAAGTTGCATCTACCAGTTCAATGATTTTCTATGGGTTCTATGCGTTAGGTTTTCAGGTATTCTTAGCTGACACTGAATCTTCATGAACCCAAATCATATGGAGATTAGATGCTGCAAAAGCTGCAAACACTGTAAGAGAATATGACTTCATTTGCATGCTTGCAAATGAAAATTCACTTTCCATTCCAACTTCAGCTATGAAAGACTCCTACCTTTGATGAGGATATAAAATATACAAACAGGACTTCATTTGAACTGATTTAAAGCAGATTTTTGCCTTCAATACAGCATTGAACTCAGCTATTAGCAAGCTTTGATTATTTCTTCTTCAAAGTGGCCACAGAATTTAAAAAGAAGAGAAAGATGTTGCCCACTCATTAAGCGTGTGCTGGTTTTAGTTTTGTCAGACATGATAAGATTAATACCAAGCACTGTACCTCTTCTAGAGTGCTGAACTCTGTGCTTGGAAATGTTGCCAATGAACTTACAGCACTGGCAGACTTCATCATCTGACCCAAAAGACAAGGTATCTTTCTCCCTGCTTTAGTGGATTACAGAACTGTTTTGCTTTGGATCATAGCCACATATTGCTTAATCCAGCTTTTTGTCATTCTTAATTTTATCACATACTCCTAATTTACTCTTGATTGTAAACATCCCAGTTGTCAGAAAAAAATCAAATTCAGAATAACTAATGAATGACTATTATAATCCACATAATATTCCGCTCTGTGTGTGCATTACTAATACTGTACAGGTACAAAACTGTTTAATAGTGTAGACAAAATTTTAAGATAAGTTAAGGTAATAATGTGGGATGAAGGTGAGGAAATCATGATTCCAGTGAAACTAGAAATATTTTGAAATGAAAACATAGAAAACATATGAAGCCTCCCTTTATGCCTTTTGTTAGACTCATTTGCTACCTTTGTTAAAATAAATCCTCACTGGCAATGAACCATTAAATTTATCTTGACTGCTACAGGTCAATCTACAATTTGGACATGTTCTGTATGTTCTATTTATTAGACTTATAAATGTTCAAAATTGACTACTCAACTGCATTATGTAGATTAGAGAAAACAAATGATGAAATAGAATATGACTTCATTTGCTTGCTTGCAAATGAGAATTCAGCTTTCACTCCAGAGTCAGCTATGAAAGATCCAAATACACAACAAAGATATTAAACTATAGGAATAGAACTTTTGAGATGTTTTCAGAACAGTGGTGTTATGAACACAACAATGAGCTCATCTGCTAGCATGCCTTGCTTCACATCATGCACAAATTTAAAAATACATAAGAATTTTATTGCAAATCAAGAAAATGTTTACTGACATATCTTTATACCAGAATTCTGAGAGTCTCAAACAGTGATGTTGTGTTTGTTGTTTTGTTTTTCAGAAATGATTACCTTACAACTGGGCATTATTTTCATCCTAGTAACAGAATTTGTTCTGGGAGAATTTGCCAACGTCTTTATAGTTGTGGTGAACTGCATTGACTGGGTCAAGAGAAAAAAGCTCTCTCCAACGGACTGGATTCTCTCTGCTCTGGCACTCTCCAGAATTGCTTTGCTTTGCATCTTACTAATCTATTGGTATTCAGCAGTGGCTGATCCAGCTTTATATAATGGTCAAGTAAAGAGTAGTATTCTCACAGCATGGGCAATAACCAATCATGTAAGCATCTGGTTGACTACCATTCTCAGTATATTCTATTTGCTCAAAATAGTCAATTTCTCCAACATTGTATTTTTTCACCTAAAGAAAAACATTAACAGTGTAATTCTGGTGGTATTTTTTGGGAGTTTCGTGGTTTTGTTTTGTTATCTTGCAGTGCTGAATGTAGAGTTGTCTATTTTGATGACTACATATGAACAAAACATGACTTGCAAGAGCAACTGGGTGGGAATCTTACACCTTACCAATGTAACTCTTTTCATAATAACAAACGTTGTACCCTTTACTATATCACTGGCATGTGTTTTGATGTTAATCTATTCCCTGTATAAGCATCTGAGAAAGATGCAGGTCCATGGAAATGGATCCCAGGACCCCAGCACCAAGATCCATGTAAAGGCCATGCAAACTGTGATCTCTTTTCTTGTACTGTTTAGCATTTACTTTCTATCTGTAATTGTATCAATTTGGATTTTGACTGTGTCATTGAATGTGAGCAGCATCTTACTTTTCTATGCTATCGAAGTCATCTACCCTTCAGCCCATTCGTTTGTCCTGATCTGGGGGAACAGAAAGCTGAAACAGGCCTTTTTGCTCATGCTGTGGCAGGTGCAATGCTGGCTGAAATAACAAAAATCTTCACCTTCCTAGATCAGATCAGGGACATTGTCTTCTAGCAGAAAACAAACTCATGGCTGCTGTAATTATCTATACTTCTTACTGACTTTTAGAGCATATGTATCTGTGTAATTACTAAACCTATCCTGGACAACCCTCTCACCTAAGCTTGTTATGTAAATATGTATACATGTGTGTGTCTCTGCAAATGAGCATCCATAATAAAAGACTGACAGTAATATAACTGTAGTAATTTCTTTCCTTGAAATAATACTTTCACTCAAAATGTTGACAATATCTAAAATTGCATAACTGTGTGTACTCTGTGTATTCCATATATTCATCTTCCACTTAAAGAATTTATGCATTATTTCAAGCAATCATCTTATCTCAGGACTGTCACGAATAATCACAGGTACACTCCACAATTTTACATTGCACAAGATTTGGTATTTTTTTAGATTTAACAATGTGTCATATTTTTCTACCTTTACATTGTATTTATAGATTTGTATACATACACACACTTTTTTAGAGGCAGGAATATTACTATCATGTAATATGAGATGCATGGCAAGTATTGGACCTCTGATATTTATTGTTTGAAGCACAGATTTTTTAAAATTCTTATTTATTATCTATTTTATATAATGATATATAGATTAAGTAAATAATATATATTATCCAACTTATACCTAAAATACACTAGATATATAATAGAAGTTATGATACTGCCTATGATACCTGCATTTCTAGTATAGATTAGATAGATAGATAGATAGATGACAGATAATACATTAACTACTGCCTTGACCTGGCTGTAGCTCCAGGAAGAGGAACTCATTGGAACTGACATGCAATATCTTTTGGTGCTTTAAAGATCTTCAGCGATGAAACTATTAGACACTGCATGATGAGATTACATGTTTTACAAAGCACACTTATCACTTTTGATCCTTAGAACTCAAGCTGTTGGAATCTAATTTGAAAAAATTCCAACTGTGCAGGCAAATATGCCTGCATGTTTATTTGCATATTGGCAAGTGCAAATTTCATTTTGTTGCATAATCATCTATGAACCATTTCAGCCGACACTAAAGACATATCAGAACAGGTACATGCGACTTAAACTAACAAGTCTCAAATGTTTTCGACTTGACTTTGGCCTAGTGACTGAAGAAGGGTGGAAAAAAGAAGGAAGAACATCATTGTCCACTCAGCAATGCGCATAGCCTTTTTGGCCAACAGATAATCAGTAGTGATATTCGATTTGAACTTGCTCCATTTGGACATGGAAAGTGCCTTCCAGAGCATCTTTGCTCTAATAATAATTACACAAGTCATATTTGGGAATTTGAGCAATGGATTCATAGTGGTGGTAAACTGCATGCACTGGATCAAGACAAGAACGCTTTCATCAGTTGATCAGATCCTCAATCTCTTGGCTATCTCAAGAACTGGTTTAATCTGGGTAATGGCAATACATTGGTTTAGAACTTTGCATCATCCACCCTTGCTTATGGCTGAAACACAAGTAAGAATTTTTACTTCTGCCTGGGTGCTTAGCAACCACTTCGGTTTCTGGTTTGCTGCAATCCTTAGCATCTTCTATTTGCTCAGAATAGCCAGTTTCTCAAATCCTACTTTTCTCTACCTGAAATGGAGAGTCAAAAAAGTGATTCTGATGATACAGCTAGGAACCTTGATCTTTCTGCTTTTAAATTTGCTGACAATTAACATCTATGTTTCAGATTGGATACATCAATACGAAGGAAATGCAACTTGGGACTCCAGGGTCAGTGGTTTTTCAACGTTGTCGCAGCTGTCTTTACTCACTATGACCATTTTCAGCCTAATGCCATTTACTGCTGCTCTGATTTCTTTCTTCTTGCTGATTTTCTCCCTATGGAAACATCTCCAGAGGATCAAGTCCAATTCCAAAGGACACAGAGATCCCAGGACCGAGGCTCACATAAATGCCTTGAAAACTGTGACCTCATTCCTCCTCCTCCATGTGAGCTTCTTCCTGTGCCTTATGGTAGCAAGCATTCCTAGCATACATCAGGACCCCCTTTTGCACAGCGTCTGCCAGACACTTGCCATGATCTATCCTTCAGGTCACTCATTTATTCTGATTCTGGGAAACCCTAAGTTAAGGCAGACCTTGTTTCTGATGCTGCAGCAGCTTTGGTGTGGACTAAAAGGAACTCCCAATTCTGTAAATCACTCAGACCACAGACTCACATAAGTTCCAGATTTTTAAAAACAGTCTACAAAGAGCTTAAAAATAAATGCTTCCCTCAGCTTCTTCTCTTGTGCAGGCCATTTTAGAATTTTGATGTGAAGATGTATAACACCATTCTATCTGAAAGTGTTCCATAATTAGGATGTGTATCTCTATATTATCAACAGTTTCAGACTTATTCAAGGAAACCATTAATAAACTCCACCATGATTTAGAAATATCCACCCCTTGTAACCCTTCACCATTTTGTCGAGTGATGGCTCCTCAGTTCAGAATCACTCACCAAAGGAGTGTTTGCAGTGACGATGTTAATAAGCCCTCCTACTTAAGTGATAAACTAGTGTAAGCATAACGAAGGTGTGTCTCTTCCCCTTGCACGCTTTGACTGTCAAGTGCTGGTGACAGTTCTGTGAACGACCTATGGCTAGCAGGGAGTAATAATTGCATGGGAATTTCAGGTGCCACGGCAGGGAATGAAGATTTGTTTCATTTTCAACTGATGAACTGATTGCTTTTCCTAACCTTCACCTGTAGCTACCCCGAGCCTTTAAACACCACTTTCGCCGGCTGGTTGGAGATGAAGAGAGTATTTTTGATCTAGAGACTTCTGACTCCTTAAAAAGTCTGTTTCCTTACCAGTACTCCAATTCTGGTGAATTGGAAAAAAGAAGCAGGGAAAGTTTGTGGTTGCAACTACTGCTAATACCGATGACAAAATTAAGAATAATAAATATAAATGCCACATGACAATGACCTTCATTTTTAGTAACTGTATATATTTGTGCAGGCATGTTTTTGCTGTATGCATTCTTAAATAAGCACTATGTAAGCACAATTGATACATAATAAAATGTATTGCATAGCATTCATTACAGTGGGAGCTTTGAAAACATGCACACTCGTGTGACTCCATCAGTGCCCTTTGCAGTTCTTGCTCCTCTTCACCATCCATTCCACCCAGGGAACGAAATGTAACTTGATGGAAGGGTCTTTGATTTCTAAGATTTCAAATCAATCACAAAATATGATATGTACAACCTTTTTAAACTCAGCATAATGTTTTTCGAGCTCCTCTGCTTTTTTTGCATATGACGGTGATTTGGTGTGGTTTTTTTCTGTTCGTTTGTTTTTTATTATTTTGTATTACAGTAGTATTGGATATACAACACTTTCTAAAATTCTCTCATCTGTTGATGAACATTGGAATGGATCCAAAATTTTGACCACTGTAAATAGCACTGATTTCAATACTAGCATGTGTTTTTTTTTTCATTGTTCTTGGCAAAATAACGTAGGATAAAAATAGAACGTATAGTATGTGTGTTTAATTTTGTTAAGAAATGCCAGAGTTGCACTGACATGGCAGCCTAGTGGCTAGAGTCTGGCCTTCCATGCGCCAGGATCTCATTTGGAAACCAGTTCGTATCCCAGTTACTTCCACTCTGAAGACGACCCAAAGCCCTGGAACCCTGCACTGGCATGGGAGACCCAGATGGATTTCCTGGCTCCTGGGTTTGAATTGGCGCAGCTCTGGCCGTTGCCACTACCTGGGGAGTGATCAGTGGATGGAACATCTTCTTCTCTGCTCCTCCTTTCTGTATATCTGACTTTCCAATAAAAATAAATAAATAAATAAATCTTTTTTAAAAAAATGGCAGAGTTTGCAGCACATTTTAAAACTGCCTTAGACTTTAAAAGGTTTTGATGCTATGACAAAGAACAGGTTTTCTTCAGTTATTAAAACTTTGATTATTCTATAAATAATCTGAATTGATGTTGGAAATGAAGATATATGTTGGTCATAGACTCTAGCTATGAATATATTAACTGAATATTTGGAACAAAGTAAAAATGTTTTAAGGAAAGAAAAATATCACAAAACTACACAAGAAAACCTCTTAATTTTGAATATTAGCAAATGAAGATTCAAATTTTAATGCAAGCCTTTACCTGTAAAATATAACCAAAGCAAAAAATAGCCAGAAATATAATATCTGCTTTGCAAATTACTCCAGACGGAATCCTTGATCCGAAAACAGGCAGATTTTCTAGTTTAATTGAAATGTCCCTTGGAAGCTGCTCAGATTCTACCAGTGATATTCAGTGCAATGGAAAGAAGACACTTGCTGGACAATTTCAGCTTCGGGTAGATACATCTGTAACAGTGCGGCTGGGATCAGTAAGTGGAGCACTGAAGGCAGGAGTTGTCTATGAACAGACATGCCATCCGTACTGGACACCTTGTTTTTGATCATTTTTATTATAGAATTCACAGTGGGGATTGGGGGAAATGGATTCATTATACTGGTAAACAGTATTGACTGGATGAAAAAACGCAAGATCCTTCTCATTGACTTTGTTCTCACCTGCTTGGCCATCTCTAGGATACTTTTTCTGTGGGTGACAATTTCATCTATCTCTCTTGAATTTTTCTATGAGAAAATACTTCTGCCTGAGGATCTGAACATAATTTGTGATGTTCTCTGGATAGGAAGCAACTATTTTTGCATGTCTTGTACCACTTGCCTCAGTGTCTTATACTTTTTCAAGATAGCCAACTTCTCTCATTCTGTGTTCCTCTGGATGAAGAAGAGGATTCACAAACTGCTCCTAGTTATCACGGTAGTAGCCGTGCTTTCTTTCTGCAAATATCTCATTCTCAAGAAAACGCTCGCTAACAGACTGGTACACGAATGGATACCAATGACAAAAAACTCAACGTGTAATTTGATGGAAGTACTACTTGACATCTTAACTTCTCACATTA